TGTTTATGAGAAAGAAAATTGGATTATCTTCAATTTCATGAAATAACTAATTAACCTCCAAAAAAGTTATTGCTCTTTAATTTGAAAAAATAAAATCATAAATTAAATAAAAACAATTCACAATATTCGATTCGCTGTCTTTCTTTTTTTAATGAAAATTATTCTTTTCTTTCTTTTGGAGAGAGAGGAAAGGGCAATTTTTCTTTTTATAAAAAAACAAATTAATACCAATAATTCGTATGTTTGAACTATTTTGTCTCTATATTTTTAACCCATTTTAATTTTTATATTTTTAAAATATTTATTTTAATTATTGTACTTTTAAAAAATTATTTACTTTAATTTTTATTACAAAATTTTATACCCAATGTAAATCATATAATATAAATTTATGACTACATTTTTAAAAAATGCTAAAATTATGATTATGATAAATGAGATAAAAAACGGAAAGACGAAAATAGACATTTCAAAAAAATTGAAAGTCCAAAATCTATGTTTTGAAAGTATTGAAATAAAAGTGAAACTACAATGACCAATAATGTTTAGACCTAGATTTTTTTCTTTATATACCAATTTATTTTATTATTATTATTATTATTATTATTATTATTATTAGTTTTGCAAAGGATACCAGATTAATTTTCTCAATTGGAAATGAAAGTAGGATATAAATACGGTTAATTATAACAGTTGCAATTAATTTAAGTAATTTACCAATAAAGTCTTTGCAACGATGAATAAATTAAGACTTGGATTGGATCACTAATCTAATCACTTAACACATTATATTATTTTTTCATAAAATAAAAATAAATATGAGGCACCGCATGCGGATTAGATCCAGCAAAATATAACTTTAAATTAATATATATTAATATATATATATATACACAATTTAAAAAGATTATGGAAATGAGAAATAAATTGAGCTAAGTATTTGGGGATCCTCATAATAATGAATAAGAAATAAATTACATTGGATCACAAAAATATTATATAAACGTTTAAAAATGTAAGTATTTTTCTTAAAGTGTTACAAAAATTACACTAGATCACAGAAATATTGTACAAATCAACTTTTTACACTCGGAGTCGGGTGAATGACCTAAAATAATCATATCCAATCAAATAAATTATATTAAAAAACTAAATTAATTAATCAATTAATACGGAAAGGTAAAAATTTAAAGACAATAAATGATTGTGGGTCCCTCGCCTTAAATTCCTCAAACAAAAACAGACACGTGCTGACCCACACGTACAGATACTGCCATTAAAGCATCCAATAATTGTTCAATTCAAACCGTTAAACCCACAAAATTAGAAAGAAAAAAGAAAAGGTAATCTCTTAGAAATTCAAATATATAAAATAAATCACCTGAACTACGAAAAATATATATATAGTAAATCAAACCTTCCTCAGTCTCTTTCAAGTTTTATCCCTTTTCGCGTCTAAAATAAAAATTTTAACTTAAAAAAAATGAGAGAGAATTATAACGATAAAGTAAAGTGTTAAAAATTAAAATCACAGAGATTCTGTCATACTTTTTTATTTACGACTAAATTCAGAGAAGTAATCAATTATTAAGAGGCCAAAATTTATTGTCATTAATTCGAATGAAGTTGGCAAAATAAATTGCGTATAAATTGGAATGAAGTTCGATACCCAAGTGCGAACCAACCATTAGAGATGGTCCCAAAAATGTCAAGAAAGTGTGGTCCATCACTAATTTGCATATCATATTTTCTATTCTTCCAGGCCAAAAACTTTGAATCTTAGCTACATATATGTTTCTGAAAACGACTTTTTCCTGTTGGAAATCAGAATTAAGAATTAATAAAGTTATTTTCTAAAACGAAAATTTTGTACCAAACAATTTGATCCAGATATAGCTAATGGCTCAGTAAAAAAAAGAGACGCGTTCTACKTTCTCTAATGTCGAAGGTTTGATCCTGCCTTGCCATTGTTGAACTCAAATAAATAGAACAAGGCTTGCATTGTTCTACATAACCTTTTCCTTTGTCTCGGGTTGGTGAGAGCTGAAAAGTCGTTTGTCCTGTTCAATAATTCATATGTGCAATAGCATAGCTGAATTAAATAAGAACACTTATTACCATGATCCTCCCGTTGAAGCGAAAAGAATGCACAACAAAATAAGAAAGCAAGAATGCCGACAAAGTAGCACAAGTTGTCAATCACAAAATTCAGATAGATACCTTGCTTGCAATTATATCTGAGAAGTATTCAGCTAGTTTTCAGATTTAAAGAATTCTCTCTATATACAAAATAACAGATTCTAGGGAATTATCCCTCTTTCTTTCCTTCCAGTCAAAATAGAAGTGAACATTTTCAATCAAAACAAAACAATGCTACATTACCTTCATACTTTAAACAAGAAAGCTACAGGTGATCTTGGAAGTCAGTTCAAAACTTAGGATTCGTAACGGATCCCGTTACATGATCCATCATCCACAAGTCTATCATCACCACAGTTCCAGGTTTTTCCAATTCTGAGCTCCTAACAACAATCAATTGTTCATCCAATGTTTCAACATTGTACATTCCAATTCCCCTTCAGATTCAGACTTATGAAAGCGCATAAGATAGATTTTATCTTGACAGCTACAATAAGATTAATGCAACCCTAAATATTTCTCTAACAAAGAATCAGGGTTTAATATAAAGAAGATAAAAAAAGTGTAAACTGTGGGAAGAGGCAGGCCAGGGAGGAACCACATCTCAAGAATTCTGTCAATGAAAAGCCAGAAAGGCATTCACCGGTCACACTGTAAACTAGCTAGCACAGGCAACTGTAAGTCATGCTACCGAGTTCAAGGCTAAAGGAAAGAGGCATAGCAGAGGCTACCCAATTAACTTATAAGAGTAAGCTATAAATATATTGAAGGACAGAAGATGACAAACAAGATATTGTGTTGATGAAACTTCCCGGTCCTAAAGTCACTATTAAGATAGGGATTGGTCAAGGTAGAGAATAGAATGAAGGACTGTAATATCGGTGAGAATGAAGAAGTATAGCACAAGCATCTTCCTTATAGTCTAAGTCAAAATTGCAGATATCCTAATTTTAATATGGAGCAAAATATGTGCAAGAATATATCATCAACTGCTTCCTTAAAACAGCCTAATGATTATGCGCAGAAAGTGATTACCAATCTTCAGCAATGTACAAAAGCAGCTGATTTTACACTGGGAACAACTACACAAGAGAGTAGGGAAACCACATCACCAGAGGGTCACAGTTTACCGTGAGTATGAGTAGTCCATAGTAAGATGGAAGTTAATATCAAGATTGTGACCACTTTGCTGCTCTAGAGTGCAAACTGGAATGGCCAACATGGTAGCCGGTTTGGCACACATTAGACAACCATTAATGCGATAATTCGATGCAACCAATTCAACAGAAGATATTGTGTGCCTTGAACTACATGTGATAAACGAGAGAGATACTTCAAACTTAAAATGGTTCTATGGTCTGATTGGATGTATTCATATAATTTCTTTGCATTATGATATTGATATGGATGACTACACAGTATCCCCACAAGGCAAAAATTTCTTAAAAGGCATTAAAGAATCTGTACAAGATGACCTAAGGCCTGGAAAAAACTTTGGAATCTCCTAAATACACTAATGGAGTAAGCATAACCACTTATTCTTCAGCAAAGCCTCCTTTGAATATAGCATTTATATATCGGCTAGGAAATGAGAAACAATATCATTGAATCATGAAGTGGACAAAAGAGAACCTAACAGAAAGGGGTTGAGTTACACAAGAAAACTCTCCGATTGACAGCAAATAGCAGAAGAGTGATTAATAGACGGAATTGAGAACAAGGACAGAAAAATACCATCATTCAAAACCCCTTGATAAACAATTTTCCCTTTTTCAGAACTCTCCTACTAATTAGTCATCATATGGCTAGCTATCACCCCAGTTAGCCATAAGATAACTAATTCATAGTAGCAATATAAAACTGTTGCATTTATTATATATACATATTTTTTACAAAAAAGAAAACTGTTTCACTAAAGAAAAAAACATCCAGTTGTTTCCAAGTAACTGTTTATATGCTAGAATAAATAGAATTTAAGCTATAAGTAATTTGACTTTATCATGTTCCTGAGTTAATAAAAAGGTTGATAGAGACAAGAAAGAAAAAATCCTCCAAAAATAAAACTTTAAAAACATAACGAAAAACCATTTTAAAAATCTCTGAAATATATTCCATATTGAATGAGGCCCTTAATTTGAGATATGTAAGGAATCAATCGAATACAAAAACCCAGACTAAGTGCAGCAAAAGCACAAGTCTAGACCATGTGGACCAACTGTATATAGTTAGGACTCATTGCCAAACATTTCTCTTTAGCTTCACCTAAGACGCTGGACGATACTTTCCTCCAGAAGTGAAAAGCAACAAATCCCCTCCCTCTTCCAATGAGAATGGTAAAAAAAATTATTATCCTTCAATAAAATAGAGTGGGCATTGTTAGGAAATGAACCTTCTGACACCCTGAAGCAGACCTACATGTCCAAGGAATTCCAGACCCAGCTGATCTTTATAGAGCATATAACATGGAATTTTTCAGCATTGGCTATTAATAAAGGGCACATCAAAGAAGGAAAAATATAAAATATACAGAATTTAGGATGCTATTTAGCACCAACCTACTAACATGTTCGGAATCATGACAAGTACAGAACAAGGAATCAAAAGAGACTTATCCGATGAGAACTTTAGATTAGTTCTGGAAACAATCCCTTCTATTGAGGTGTGTTGTCATATTTATAAAGCTCTAAAACAGGCAAGAGCAATACCAACTGCATTCAGAATAACGATCAACGATTGAGACCTTCGTCCACCAAGAAACTGGATAGGAGATAGAATGGACAGAAAAACATCGTGCATAGTAATAAGATTGAGAATAACGACCATCCTGGAACTCGTCTGGAATAATCATCATATAATACGAGTACGACAGCATTGGAAATAAGATGAACTCCAACTGATAAAAGATAAGGTGAGACATACAAGTATGAAAGGATAGATCCTAAAAGTTCTAAGAATCCACAGAAGAAGAATAGATTAAGAAACAAAAGCTCTAGGAACCCTAGATATGAACCTGCTGCAGATCCTCCCATATCATCCTGATAAGCATTTAATGGGGAAAAACTCTAGAATTCGGAGGCTAGAAGAGGAACCCTCTCCAGAACTGAACCTAGTGATCTACAGAGGACGAACAGAAATGGAAAATTTTTCATGTAGTCACCTCCAAACACAAAGCCATCCTCCATCTTACGTAGCCATTATAAATGCCTGGATCAAGTTTTCAGCCGTGCGCTTCTGTTCGGATGTACCAGATATTAGAGCAATACGATCACCTCGAGATGACCTAGAGTCTGAAATCTCTATCGACGCTCCTGATATCTGAACAATGAAAAAGTACGAGTGTTGTTATACTCAGAACTGCTCAATAACACCAAATAAGCATGTCTTAGGGATTAATTTTTCAATATCTTAAAAGGTTTTTTAACTAACTAAAGTCACTTTTCAAATATTTCATCTGCTTCGCTTCAATAAATTTTTGCTGTAGAAACTACAAAAACATCATTACTTTAAAATACTCAGAGGAAGCCCTTAACAGTATTGTTCCAAAAGAGCTAGCGCCTAGCAGTACTTGTTTCACTAGTCCCAAAAGCACTTCCAAACAATCTAAGAGTCTAAGAAATATGGGCACAAAAACACATGATATGTTGTGAAGAAGAGAAGAGGCAGAGGCTATTTTCTAAAATTAAGCATTGAAACAATAGGGACAATTTAATTTAATTTAATTTAATTATTATTGAAGCGCATTTCAATATTTTTACACATGTAGTGATGCAAGGTTATAAACACCATGCTTCCATTCTAACAAGTTTATTCAATTTTAAGCTAATGAAATAAAATATATACCTCTGTGTATATTAGATTCTCGAACAAAAAAGTGAAGTCAAATTTTCCACAGAATAAATGGCAAGTATTCAAGGAGTTTTCCATTGGATTTTAGCAAACAAAATAAGCTTTACATGGAGTTAACATTATATTATTACTTATATTCAAACTCCATAAAAGCCTACTACAAATATTGCTGCATCTGAGCACTCAAATTTTAAAAGATGATGTATCAGTATTTATCACATCGCGCCCATGTCTATGCTTCTTAGAAATCAGAGTCTTCATGACAAGAAATGCAAAAATAATCACATTCAACAAAATCCAAAGGGAAAATAAAAGCTACACAAGTGGAGATCAAAGAACCTGCGATTCTCGCACTTTTAAACAATACATGGTGTGGCATTAGATATGTACTCCAATTGACAAAAGTAAGAAATACATCATAGAAATCAAATCATCCTCTCTAAATAAAAACGGTCATCAAAAGATAAGAAGAATGATGTAGACAACAATAAACCAACCTTCCTAATGTTGGCAATATTAGCCCCTCCTTTTCCAATCACTTTACCAGCTGCATTTGCAGGGATCAACATCTCAAGAGCAGATGGAGGGGGCAACCTGTACATATAACAACAAATATAAAATGTTAGTTACAATTCAATACATAAAACTAAAAGAATGAAGCGACAATAAAGTATCACTTTTTTAAATAAATTAAGATGAATACTGACCCTCCATACAACTTGGATGAATATGAGGAGATGGATCCATAGCCATTGTCTCCCATCTGATACAATTACAGATAAAGGTTAAATGTGCAAGAAATAGCAGTAGGCCGAACACAGAAATTACTTTAAATATACTATTTAATTAACAAATGAGAGATCTCATGATCCAAAATTAATGTTGAAGCTGTTCACCATCGTCAATCATCACAAGTTGACAAATGTAGTACTCATCATCTCATTGGTATTAAGCAGACTTTTTTTTAAGAAAAAGACCGGAAATAGAAATTATATTACTGTTGACAAAAAGAAAGTTACTACTGCTGCAATATATAACACACGTTTGCTTATGGCACGTACCGACAGTGATCCATATCCATAAAGGCTACTTGAAGAGAGAACGCCCAATCCACTTCCACTTTCAGCCCTCTGATCATAGCCAATTGGAGCACCAGGAGAAACAGAAGGCAAGACAGATGGCATTGAAAAATTGGAACCAGATGTGTACATGGAATCAGTTCCAACACCAGGGTTATGACCTACATCTCTCTCTTTCAAAGCATCATCACGAAGCCTTAACACAATCTGTACCAACGCATCTCTGACGCTGCCAACTTTACCACTTAGCTGCAAGGATACATTCAAAATGAAAAATTTAATGCAAGCAAAACTACATTGAGCGCTATTTATGATTCATAAAGCGAACCTCAACAAGTTCATCATTGGCAGCAGCACACTTAATTTTGTCACCCTTAGAAATGCGGATATCAGCTCTAGTTGTCTTCCGAATCTCATGGATGATTGAACCACTTTTTCCAATGATACAACCAATGACTTTAGATGGAACAAGTAGTCGCATAATCACCGTTCCACCTTCATCATCATTAATCTTCTCTTGAAGCAATAAAACAGTTTCAACAGCCATTGATTTCAGATCATCCAGAGACTGAAAAAACACATGAAAAATCAAAATGATCAATGCATTAATTTAAATAAATAACCAGTTTCTATATGAAAAATACATGCAAATAAAAGAACCAAAGAGCAAGTTGATGCAGCATACAGATCATTCAAGTTGAATATCTTGGTAAAATTTTAAAATACATTGTTTGATAACAGAGGCAATATTTCAAATAAAACAAAGGGTACAGAGCAAATTGAGCCAGAGTTGGAATCTTTTTTTCCTGCAATAGAAATGTATTCAGAAAATCTATTAGTTCCAATTTCATGTTGCAATATTACTCGTGAAATTACTTGTTATTAGCTTAAAATGTAACTAATAATTTTGTATAATCATTATGTTTAGCCATACATGGTTCTAAAATTTTTATAATTTATCAATCCTTTCTGTTTAAACCAAGGCTCGTCCTTCCCTCTCCAACATAAAATGCCTTGAGGCGACTTAATCTTCAAAAGAATTTTCAAAAAGTTGTTTTTCAATAAGCTTAATTTGAGAAGCTTCTCAAAATTAACAGCAGAAACAAATGTTTATTGGAATGATCAAACTTAAAAACCAATTAACCTAACACCTGTGCTGAGTAAAATTACAAAGGCAAACACTTCTAAAATTTTCCAGATAATACAGAATAGGCATGTTGATATTCTTAATGTAATTCCAAAATTCTGCAAATAAACCCAGCCTCAAAAGACCAAAATGGCATGCAATCAAAGACATTTAATGAGCTGAACTCATTCTTTTGTGAGAGAAAGCATAGTACCTCAAATGACGTGATAGTTATTAAGCACTCATCACAATCACGTTTGGAATCATCAACTTCCACACGAGCACCACTAGCTTGCCTTATGCTTTTAATGGTACCCCCACCCTTACCAATGACACGGCCAATGTTATCGAAGGGGCATAATACTCTAACCACCAACTCCTCAGATGGAGGTTGACCACCAATACCAGAAACCACAGGAAGAGCAGATGAATAAAGAGGCCACGTATTCCCAGTATCAGAGTAATCATGAAGATCCTGAACATGTGGAGGACCAAGCATCGGTGGAATAGATCTGGGAGGAAGAATGGGATCTGCACTTGGATATAGTCCTCCTGCTGAATACAGAGGGACATCTGATGGGATAATTATGCTAGGAGGGGCTTCATTTACATTAGTATCAAGAGGAATCTCTTCTCTGGGAGGGAACTTGTACATAATTGAAGATATTGCAAATAATGCCCACCTTACTCCCTCAGGTTCACCAGATAGCTACTCAAAAGAAAAAGAAATGGCACTGGAGATCAGAAAACAACACCACAAAATTACTGAAAAAAAAAACAGAAACAGAGAGTGAAATGTTCGTTCAGGGTTCAATATTTGAAGCAGGACATAAACATATAAAATTTCTTATACAACAACTAACAAGACCTCATGTCAGTATAGCTTCCTCATATATGAGTTAGATAGGTATGTTAATTAAATATACTGGTTTCCAGATATTCAGTTTCTCAAAAAGCTAAGATTCCACAGGTTGATTGAGAATCAGATTATAAGAACCAGAAGGCAAATACTTTGTGAACTTTCAATAATTGAACCACCAATTCTTGATCTGAAATCTACCAGATCATATGAAATACACTTGTAATTTCTTTCCAGTGACAACTGGTATCTAGCTAACTACTTTGATACCAACTTATAGTACATATCCAGACATGTAGTTTTTGAAAGATAAATGGGGCAGGACAAAGTACCAAGAATTTCACCTCAAAATTTTCAGAGGTAAAGAAAGGTGCAATTAAACCCACTCTTCTACATCTTTATGACCTCAGCAAAGACAGAGTTTAACATAATATCATTGTTTTTTGTACAGGGAAATTGAACTCTTTTTGTACTAATGAAAGAATTCTTTAAAATCTTGTTCTTTCCATCAATAGGGTAAAAAAAAAACTATATACACAGTAGATAGAAGTAACTCTCTCTTTAGAGTTGTTGCAACTTGCAAGTAACTATCGTAAAGGCAATGGCGGAAACATAAAATGTAACACCAATATTTAATTATAACGAGCACTGAAACTCTCCTATTCCCATTTTAATATAATGCTGATACCATGTAGAGCATGATGACCATGATAGGGTTTGATATTTTCTCTCTTTTTTCTTGGGATAAGAGAGAAATTTAAAGTTGATGATTAATTAGTACAAATGAAAAAGAAAACACTTATCAAGTTGGAGTTAAATGTGGAATGAGAGCCAAATATACACACCACAACGAAATTGTCAAATTCCATGGCACACGAATGAATTGGATCAGTGGCATCCTTTGCGCTGATTTTTATACTGGTCCTTGTCTTGCTTCTAAGTTTTTTAATAGTTGACCCAGCTTTACCAATAACATTTGCGGATTGGCTTGAAGGGACAAGGATTTGGCATTGTTCCTTGTCCTTCTGCTTCATGTCTAAGTCCCCAGCGGAAGCCACTGCATTAGCAATGGCAGCATGAACTTTGAGAAGAGCATCTTGGGCTGCACATAACGGTTCCCTGTCATTGAACTCATCATCAATTTCCACTTCCTCCTTATCCTTGACAAAGGAGAATATTGTTATAACACGGTCCTTAGCACCAGGAAACGGATCAACAACCTTAATCTTTGCCCTTGTTTCCTGTCTTATTGAATTTATTACTTTACCACTCTTACCAATGACACTTCCAATAACCTCATCTGGGCACAGTATTCTGTAAACAACCAGTTCATCGCTAACCCAATCGTCCTTGTCGCTCATCCGTCTCTTATGGCTCTTATTGTCTCCATTATTGTCCCTGTGACCATAAGGCCGCTTCCCAATCACCATTTTTTAATTTCAATTTGCCTGCATTTTAACCCCATCAAAATAAAGTCATAAAAATTAAAAATATATATATATATATATATATATATATATATATCTGTTGAAAACGCATTCAACCAAGTTGTCCTCCTCTTACACGATACAATAAACATAATACAATCAAGTTATTCAATTCTTCACAGGCCTAGTTCCTCAAGCAACATACACCCCAACGCTAAGAGTACCCAGTAGCTAAATTCGACTGGAAAAACGGAATGGGACCTAAGACGAGCGAGGAAAAGAAAACCCTAGTTCTATGGGAACTTATATGAATGTGAAAGTCTCCGTGAGTCCCAACTATTCGATTTCCACCATAACCAAACAATGGGACGAATCATGTCGCCAGAAACACTCGTTAAACAGCGACTTCAGATTGAAAAGCATTGTTCGGATGGGGGATGGAAAAAATCAAACCCTAATCCACGGAATCGGCCAGAACCACCATGAAAATGAGAAAGAAAAAAAAAAATTGAAGACGAAAGTACCTCAGCAGAGAAGACGAAGCAGCGGCACAACCACAGACAGAGGCCGCCGATACTGCTGCGATTGGAGGAGATATCACTACGAGGGGCTGCACTTCCACGAGGGTTTGTAAGAACCGCCATTAATCTTTTTTGGGTATTTATTCTCATTCCGGTGTTCCCGAGAGCTGTGGCCTTTGATGCGTTATCCACGAGGATGAGATCTTGGCCGTTGGATGCTATGACTCTCCCTCCGTATTTTGACGGTAGTTTCATCGAATGGTCAATATTGATTTTTGTAGTTTTTAATGTCCGCTGCGACTGCATGCGATCCGGTACAACTTTCATGGTAAAATTTTTAAAGCGTAAGTTTAGTCCAATTTTTTTTAAATTGTGTCTTTTTTTCTCTGAATATTTAAATTGTGTATCATAGTTTATAAACTCTCCATTTTATTTTGTAAGTTTGATGGTACTAAAAAAATAATAATAATAATAATAATTGTTTTAGTAGGTTTTTTAACTTTCTTTTTTTACTTGTTAGACATTTTCTGAGTGCAATGGATTGGGAGCATGAAAGTTTAAACCTCCGACTTCAAGATAATGGGTATGTATCACTTATCACTGTGTTATACTCGTGTTAGCTTTTTTTAGACATTTCTTGAATATCAATATATCAAATTTCAATTTGAATTAGTTTTTTTTTCTTCAGTACAACGACTGTATAGCTGTATGAATTGGAACATCCAACCTCAAAAGAATTATTGATTAATTGATTTGGAGAATGTAATTTGGACTTTAACCTTTATCAAATCTTGATTAATATTTTCAATCGGATGGATAGACATTGATTGATTAATTGATTTGGAGAATGTAATTTGGGCTTTTAATCATATACTAGAAAGTATTGGCTCTTGTGACTTCTTTTATACTATGATAATATAAAAGAAACTGACTTCTTTTACAGTTGGATAGACATTAATTGATAAGTTGAATTGGAGAATGCAATTCGGTACTTTATTTTATCTAGAAAAAATATATGTTGATCCAGCAATTTTAAAACCATCAATTTGATTCCAAGTTAATTTCATTTTTTTTGCATAGGCTTTCAAAATATCTACTTCAACCGTATTTTTATTACTCGGTGTTTTGTTTAATAGTTCAACAATTAAAATAATATCGTTACAGCATGCTTCAACGATAATTGGCATATATCTCAAATTAAAGATGTGAGTTCGATTCCCCTTGTACTAAAAAAAACTAAAATAATGTCTATTTGTGAAGGTGTGCAATAAAAAATATTGTTTTAAAGATTAAAATAGGCATTTTGAATAATCAAATTAGAAAAGTCTTTAAAATTTAACCAACCATATTTTACTTACGTGTATACTCTAAATGTGTAGTATCATGTTAAGGATTTTTACTGTCATTTTCTATTAATTTCATATCAAACATATGTTTTTATTCATGCAACGTAGGTAATAAAATTTGTTTCGACAATTTCTCAAACCGAAACCTGTCAAAGGATTAAAATATGCAACATTTTTTAAATTTTAGGGGAAATATTGCAACACTTATCTAAGTTTTAAGGTGTAATTTGATTAAATTAAAAATTTAAGATAATTTTAATACACTTTGTCAAGTTTAGAGTTCTAATTCGTCCATTCCCCTGTATAACTTGTATATGATCTACATATTAAATAAAAAACTATATACTATAAATATAAGCTATAAAAAAATGTTGTTTTCTCTCAAGCACCCTAGTGAAATTGACAACTTGAACTATATTCAATTGGTTAATATATCTATTTATTGGTCGGTTTGGAATCTCCATTCTACTTAAAAAAAAAAATATATCATATTGGAATTTGAATCTTTACATGTATGATCGAATCAGTAAATCAAAAAATGAAGTACGAGAGATGCAGACATCATGTTTTTAAAATGTCCCTATTGGTATTTGCAACATAATTTAATATGTTTTAGATTCTGAAAAAAAAAGAATGAAAAAGAGACTTGCACTTAAAACATAAGGATTTTATTTTATGAATTTTTTTTTCAATAAAGTCGAGAATTTGAATTCAAAGATTTTTGATAAATAGGTGTATTAATTGGTTGATCTAAGTTCATATTCGTTATTCGTTTTTTTTTTTTGAAGTTATAAATTATAGGTGATGTTATAGGTTCAAACTCTACCACAATATTTGTGATTAAATTATTGTATAATTTAAGAATAATATTTTAATGTTTACTAGTCAACTACACTCTTTATCCTTAGAAAACTGATTTCATTTCCTATATTTCTCTTTTTTATTTGTAAAAATTTTATTAAAAAACACTTAAAAGAACCTTTTTAAAGTTTCAAACTCTAATAATGTTAGTGACAAATAGTTACAAAAAATATAAGATTGAATATTTAAAATCACCATCGTAATATCTAGACCAATCACGACATAGATAAGTGCACACATATGATACGTATAATATTTCTCTTGATTTTAGGTTAGAAAATTATATAGTTTAATTATCATTTGGGTATTAGTTAAAACGTTGGTATACTAAAACCAGCATAAGTCAACAGCTGTGAGTTTAGATATTTGTACTAAAAAACGAAGCGGTCAAAATATCACGTAGGAAGCAAAATTGAGCACAACTGCGTCTATAAACAACTATATTTTTGTCCCAAGTTTCAAACCCACTCCCATTCTTTTTTAACCAATTTCGTTTCTTGAAGCACAAGATGGTCAAAATTTCAATCACCCACCAATTATTTTTTACTTGAAAACAGAAATCTTGCGGAAGAAAAGTGAGGTATCCGAGTGGAGCGGAGGAGTCTTCGTTCTCGGATTGAAATTGTAGTTCAATTTACTTTACTTTTAGATTCGACATTATTGTTGCAGCGCAGATGATGGCATGTCATCGAGGATTGAGCAGCAGTGACACTCCTGCGAACGCTCTCCACACAACTTTTTCTTGTGATTTATTTCACAAATTTCAAATTTCTGTGAAACAGATTTGGTTTCCAACGATCACCTTGAAAATCCAATCCAAATAATGTGGTCTCTCTCGCTCTTCTCCCCAATTTGATCCCACCCCTTTTGTCCTTTCCCTCGATTCTGTCACGGTCGTCCCTCATCCCCCTCTTGTGCTATATCTCTTATTTGTTTTCCTCCTGGGCATTTCGAGACCTCAATTTCTCTCTCTCTCTCCCCTTCTCCTCGTTATCCTCAACCCCTTTTGATTTTCTTTCATTCATCCATTTTCATTGGCAGATAAGGCCATCGGCCGAGGTATGCTCTCTCTCTCTCTCTCTCTCTCTCTCGCCTCAGTTCTTCTGCAACTTCTGAGTTGTTCTATGCGATTTTGATGGTAATGGACGCATGATTTAATCCGTCATTCATTTGGGTCTGTCGAGTTATGTGTTTCGCGCAGTTCTCATCGTCTCTGCTCTGTATCACTGACATGGGTTTGGATTTTTTTAGACTGATTCCCACTTATGCTATGTGAATTTGCTTTCGGTGACGAAGAACTTGTTTTATTTTTCATTCTTTATTTATCGGTCTAACTTTGAGTGAACTGAATCCAATATATTCTTTTAACTGGTTTTAGTAGACTCTGTTCTTGATAGAACAGTTAGACTTTGGAAATAAGTCAAGGATTAAACGATTGAAGTTTTTAAAGTGAAAAAGCATTGAAATCGCATCTCTCGCTGATATTGATGAATATTCCTCAAGTAATGGACTGGAAACTGGTTTATTTCGTTAATCAATGATTAGTTGATATGTAACACTATACACCATCTTAAATATCAATCGATTATCATTTATTTTCTCGGGATTCCTGTACTTTTTAGCTTTCAAATGTTACTTTATCGGTTTTGATGAGAATCATTGCTTTGTCCTCTCTTCACTGTGGTAAACTATAAATTCGGGAGAATTCTGATATCAAATATTTGAGATCGTTCTTTTGTTGAAAACAGATTAAGTAGTCTGTTGGAAAGATGGAGATTACTAATGTCAGCGAATATGAGGCCATTGCAAAGGAGAAGTTGCCGAAGATGGTTTATGACTACTATGCATCAGGTGCAGAGGACCAGTGGACTCTGAAGGAGAACCGAAATGCATTTTCCAGGATTTTGTATGTTCCTTTCAATGCTTTTACAGTCATTTTCCGTACAAAGTGACTAGTATCATCTCTCTTTTCATTTAGGTAATCGAAATGTTTCTAAAGAAGTTTGAGAGGGTTCAAGTACTTGGATTATAAGTAACTTTGGTAAAAAGTGCACAATAACAAATTACTTTGAGTTTTAGTTCCATGCTGGTAGAAGTGCTTTTCTGCAAAGCGCTTGAGCTAAAAGCACATTGCAAGTGTTTTTTACAAAACATTTTGTCTTTCTTTTGGCTTTTTCAAAAAACAATTTTTTGTTACTCTCAAACGTTTCCCGCTTTTGGTGAGGGTAAAAGTGGAAAAATATTTCCCTACTGATTGATGAGTAGGAGCTCTTATTGACTTTATGATGTAGCGTATTTTTATTGGCTAAAATGTTACGGAGAGCTCCTCTTGATTGGTGTATAGGCAAGTATTGTTTCGTAAAAGTACTCTTATCATGTCAACAACGCTCTCAAACATGTGTTGTATCTGCAAGGCACTTTTTATAGGACTTTTAAGTACTTCGAGACCTTTTAAAAACACTTTTGGAAATATAACCAATCACTTGAAAAATGTAAAAAGTAATTTTACTGAACTAAAAACACCTCCTACTTTTTCAAAAGTGATATCAAACTCATTGTTAAGTTTGTGTTCTTTGTTCAAAATTTTTTTTTTCTGACCAACACAAAACTACTTCTCTGACAATTATTAACTTTCACTGAGTCAGGTTCCGACCTCGTATTCTTATTGATGTGAGTAAGATAGACCTGTCAACAACTGTGTTGGGGTTCAAAATCTCAATGCCCATTATGATTGCTCCAACTGCTATGCAAAAGATGGCTCATCCTGAAGGTAAAAACTTCCTAATCCCAATGAAAACTCCATGTCTTAACTGCCTTCTAGTTTGTTCTACAGTTTCTTTCTTTATTTGTTCCAAATATTTTCAAATATTTTCGAAGGCTTCGGATAATTAAAACTTGTTGAAAGTCGATTTTCCAAAAGTAAATTATACTTTCAGGTCGACCATAGACTTCTTTAGTGCCATTTCAAGATCAGTACTTAAAAAGTAAATTTGAATGAGAAAATTCAAACACCAAGATGAAATTTATGAAGTAGAGAAAAATATTGCTGTTTGGGCCAATTTGCATTTGCATTTCCATTCCCATAAGAATGAATTGTTTTCATCTGAACAATATTGCTGTTTCAATGCAGGGGAGTATGCAACCGCCAGAGCAGCATCTGCCGCAGGCACAATCATGGTTTAAATTTCTTTTTTCCAAACCTAAAGTTTTATTACTCTTGCAAATATTTTGTACATAATCTTGACTTTAATTGGGAAGTGTGGGATTGGTTAAGGACTTTGCTTGATTCAAGTGATTCTTGAATTTTTTCAGACCCTTTCCTCATGGGCTACTTCCAGTGTGGAAGAAGTTGCTTCTACTGGACCCGGCATTCGATTCTTCCAGCTATATGTAAGAACACTCCATAAAGAGTTTCTAAGAATAACGCTGAACTTATGTGCAAGAATACTTTTTTGTTTTAGCAGCCAACTGTGTACTATTCATTCATCTCAAGCATTAGGTCTTTTATGTTATGTTTTCACCCAAACTCGCGTTTATGCTTATTCAGGTGTACAAAGACAGAAATGTGGTGGAACAACTTGTGAGAAGAGCTGAAAGGGCTGGTTTCAAAGCCATTGCTCTGACTGTGGACACTCCAAGGCTTGGTCGCAGGGAAGCTGATATCAAGAACAGGTGTGTATAGATTTATTAAGTCAGTTGATATATGTTTAGGGATAATAAACCTTGTCATCAAGTGTTTTTCACACATTAATGGCTTTTAATGCAGATTTACTTTGCCACCATTTTTGACATTGAAGAACTTTGAGGGATTGAATCTTGGTAAAATGGACAAAGTAAGAGTGAAATGCCATCATATCCTGAGTTATATTTCCATCAACAATGTCCTTGATGACATTTTCTCTTCTGTGGGTTACAGGCAGATGACTCTGGACTGGCTTCATATGTCGCAGGGCAGATCGACCGTACTCTCAGTTGGCAGGTAACAAAAAAAAAAAAAAGTCGGTTCAAAAAGATAGAAACAAACAAAGATAGTATTATTGAAAAAGCTTAATTTTCCATTTACTTGCAGGATGTGAAGTGGCTCCAGACCATCACCAAGTTGCCAATTCTTGTGAAGGGTGTAATTACTGCTGAGGACAGTAAGTAAACCTATAATGGAAAAGATTAGAACAACTAATGAAGAAATGAATTAACAAGACATATTCATCTGATTCCATTAAGAGGAATTTTAATCTGATGTTTGGCCTGCAAATTACAGCAAGGATTGCGATACAAAATGGAGCTGCTGGAGTAATTGTTTCAAATCATGGAGCTCGCCAACTTGACTATGTCCCTGCAACCATTATGGCTTTGGAAGAGGTACTTGGTGAAAAGGACCATATTTTTCAAAGTAGCTCTTTTTGTTGGCCTAAAACAAAACATGCTCACAACAATTTAATACTTGATGATTTTCAGGTTGTTAAAGCTGCTCGAGGTGAAGTTCCTGTTTTCCTGGATGGTGGTGTTCGGCGTGGAACCGATGTTTTCAAAGCATTAGCTCTTGGAGCATCTGGCATATTTGTAAGTAAAAGGAACACATCAGACGATCAGTTTGTTGCTATTGACCATATGTTCACTTGACAAAAACGATCATGTTGATCAATGTCAGATTGGGAGGCCAGTGGTGTTCTCTTTGGCAGCAGAGGGTGAGGCAGGTGTGAGGAAAGTGCTTCAGATGCTGCGGGATGAGTTTGAGCTGACCATGGCATTGAGCGGCTGCCGCTCACTCCGGGAGATCACCCGCAACCACATTGTGACAGACTGGGACACTCCCCGTATCGCGCCAAGGTTATGAGATGTTGGTTGCACTGCATCGTGTATGCAACAAACAACACCATTTGGCTGGCAATCTTGAATTCTTCTGATAAAATATATAGTTTATATGAACGATGTTCTGTTATTGATAAATATGTAATGTCTTCTTGAATGGGATATTACATTCATCCTATATTGTTTCTGTTGCCAACAACCTTTGTGATATGTTACTGAAGTTGACAACTGGGTGTCTGTCTTTTTGGTTGCTGGTACAGAACAGGTGGTAAAAAGGAAAAATGAAAAGAAAAAAAAAAGGTATTATGATGTCACAATCCTTTTGTTTCTCCTTTTTTTTTGCACTTGCTTCTTATATAAAAAAAAAGTATCCACATTTACGAAAATTTAATGATGTTTTTCATGTTGTTTCATATTCTAAAAAAGAATTTAAGCCTTTTTTCCATTGAAGTCGAACATCTGCTTTCCATTGCTATTGAAGTTGAATGACATAAAATTTCGAATATCCAACCTTGGAAAATCAATCATTATTTTTCATCCCTGCATTTTAGACCCTTCAAATACTGTACATTTTCTGGTTTATGTCCAAATGAACTCCTCGGTTGAGAGTACTCATTTTATCCAATCTTCATCTGGGTGTAATTAATCGTCTTTTATTACCTCATACCAAATACCGAGTTGAAATATCGTGTGGTGGATTTCATATCTGTCTACAAAAAATCGAGTGTCTCCCCGGGCTTGGGTTTGAAATAACAGAATTCAATGTTTCGATTCATTTTGTTTACTGGGGGTTATATTTATCTCTTTTGATTTGAGATTTTGCAGTCAATTTGAATCTAATTCTTTGTTGGCTATGGTGGTACTTTGCGGCTCCTCTTTTCCTTGATACGAGTTTAGAGAGGGAAAAAAAAGTGATGTGAAATATTTACAGTTTCTGGTTTCAAGTTCAAGGTTAATGTACTAAAGTGATTATCATTTAAAACTCTGTTGCCAAGATTGTCTTCATTTTCAGAGTACGAAATTACATTGTCCCTAGATAAACCAGCATCTGCAGCAGGCAAAATCATGGTTAGTAATCTGATTGATGACCCATTTCAGACCCTGGCCTCATGGGCCACTTCCACTGTTGAAGAAGTTGCTTCAACACGACCTGCCATTCGGTTCTTCCATCTAAATGTGAGAGTTAGCAAAAAACATCCAAAAGGATTTAGGCCTTTTTTGCTCAAGAAATTGGTATGCTTTTGCTTGTTCCAGTTCCTTTCTTATCACTTTCCTCTGTGTTTACATGATGATCTCAGTACTTATTGAAAAACTTTTAGGGGTTGGACCTTGGTAAAATGAATGAGGTGCTAACATAAAGAAACATAAGTTTTAAGCTGAAAGGTCTCTTCATTTTAGCAATGTTCTACAATCTTTGCATTGATTCTTTTATGGGATTCTGCACACCAATGCCTCTAGACTAGCTTCATATGACGTTGGCCAAATTGATTGTTTTCTAGACTGAAAGCTGTGATCAGCTTCTTGAAATAAAAGAAAAATCTGATTAGAATATGAGATTTTGCAGTGAAGTAGCTACAGTCACTCACTAGATTGCCACTCCTAGTGAAGAAAGTACTTGCAACTCCTTTGGTGCTGCACACGGTTTCGAGCTGTGGTACTGACAAACTTTCTTGTTAGCCTCATGTAAGTTGTACTTGAAAGAATATTAGTTTGCTTAATCAGGGTTCAAATGTCACAGGTAAATTCAGTTGCCAATTTTTCTAACAATCTAAGGCTGTCCCGATCTCTCTTGGGAGGCCAGTGTAGTAGGTTTACCTTAAGTGAGGCTAAAGAAGCGACATGGGTTAAACACGAGCCAACTCAAAGAGACTGTCTCTACAAATAAGAGAGGCTTGGGGCACGAGGTGCATTCTACACAATCATACTTTTTGCTACTCTCAACTGAACTCTTTAGCACCATACGACCTGCAAATTTCTTATATGTGCAGGTGTTCGTTGAGCATTTGACGTTGGAACTCGGATCCAAATCCTGCATTAACACATGAAATCAAGTGGCTGCTAGTAAAAAACATAAAGTCCTTCCTTTTGGAACTTAGCCACGAGAGTATCGATGCGACGCCCACGACAAGATCTAAAAGAGACACCCAAAATGAGCTCTCTCCACGGGTTCGTGTCGTGTATATCTTATATAAGAACGGGATGGAGACACGAGGTAATCTTATCATCAATTGTCCATTTGCTAACAATTATTGGTCCTCCATGTTTTGTTTCTTCAATTGGCATACTGTTCTTGCTAACAACCTAAACAGCCTCCTTCCCTACATATTGACAGGGCATCCTGTTGAAAATGAAAGGAACACTATTTGGGCTCCATATTATCGCAACATACTGTTGGAAAGAAAGCAATAGAATTTTAAATGATAAGAAAAAACTTTAATAGTTTTTTCGAATAAGCTTTGCAAGTTGCGCGCTTTTTGTTGGTGTAAATGTTACTCCTTTTTTATGACTATATGCCTTTATGTAATATGTGGAATATTTTTTTGCTAATTTAATTGATAAAAACATTACTTAAATCCTCAAATATTTAGTTATATATATATATATATATAAATATAAAGTGAGTGGCTATCAAAGATGAATAAACTATCACTCAACCAAAAAGTTTAAATTGATGGGTTGGGTAAATTTAATTCATTTATATAGATTCTGAACAATTTTAACTGTAATTATTAAGTAGAGATGTTATTGAGGTGGAGAGGGACCGAGATGACCATTCTCCATCTTATTTTCTATTTATTATTATTATTTTTTTGTTTCGAGGAATTAAGATTCTCCATTTAAATAGTTAAATCAACATACAAGGAAAATTCATAAACTTTCCAATCAAAACAAATATAATATTCTTATTTCAGTTGCAAATATCTTATTAAAAAACTTAAAACATAAATATCACGAGATTTTTGGATGTTTCAAGTTTAGGTTTAAGGTTTTTTTTTTTTATACATAATAATAAAACAAAAATGTATATACGGGCGGGTATTAGGATCCCCATCCCCGTCCCCGTTTATATCACGGGAGAAAATCCCTCCCTATCCCCAAACGTTTCACGGGACCCCACGAAAAAAAGTAACATCCCCTATATATATTAGCCTAAATTATAATTATAATTATTTAACATTGTCTTCTTGATGTTGATCCAAACTCCATATCCCATCAAATTCCAACCATGACCCCTAGCTCGACCTCAACCTCAAAATCTCTTGAGAATTACGATTATGTGTCTTCATTATCATAAAAAAAAATAAAATAAAATAAAATAAAGAAAAATTGACTCATGGCACATGTAAGGAATAAGGACCATGTAAAATACAAAATAATAATTAAACCAATGCAGAATCAAGAATAGAGATATGAAATACATAACAATGATTAAAATATAAAAAATAAGGTTATTGTATAGAATACATAATAATAATTTAAAAAATTCAAGATTGGGATCGAGGTCGAGGTCGAGGTCGAGGTCGGGATCGGGCAGACAAGTTTGAGGGGGAGCTGCTTCACATGGGAATTCTGACCAAATTTCCTTCCTCAGCCAAACATTTTATTGGTGTTGGAGAATAAAGTTGTTTGTGTTGAAGCAATTTTGGGTAAATATGGGGCCGCCCCACTCTTTCTTTTTCTTCACACATTTTACCCATTTTCCCCCATATTTTAAGGTTACTCTTCTTTTAAATTCCTATCCCAATAATTATCATCCCAAAACACAAAAAAATAAAAAATAAAATGAGGATAGTTTTTGAACGGTTACCAATCACTTATGTTTCTCAAAAATTGAAAACGAAAAACAAGAAACAATAAATAAGAACATTATGACCCATTTGATACCGTTTATGTTTTCTCATTTTTAATAAAGAAAAATAGAATTGCATGTCATTATTTATGTTCTCATTTTTTGTTACCGAAAAAAGAAACTTGATTTTGTTAGAAACAAGAACAAGAAACAAGAAACAAGAAACATAAATAGTTGCTAAATGTTTAGATTTCTTAATAAAATTGGAAACAATTACAAAAAAGGAGAACGTTACTAAACGGACCATCCTTGAAGGAGTTCTAAATTTTTTCATCATCCAACTTCCCATTTAATCATAAGAAAACATTAGAAATCTTTTCCACTATTAGTTAGAAAAAAAATTGATCATGGATATAGTACAAAATTAAAATCTAAGCATGTTAATCTTTTTCCCCTAAGAATCAAAGTCTAAAGTGAAGTTTCTTTGTTTTTTTTTTTTTTTTTGTTTTTCTTTTCCACTCCAAGAGTTGATATTTTTAAAGTAAGATATCAAAAAAAGCAACCAAAAGAGAGTTGATATTTTTGAAGTTCAAACCACATGGATGGTCAGAGAATTAAATGATAATATTGGAATTATGTGACCTAATTTCTGTTAGTTAGGGGAACAAAATGACAGCTTTTTAAAAAGTATAATTTAACTTGATAAGGAATGGTTGGCCAAAATTACAAATTTGTGCATGGACAATTTTATATAAATTAGCCATTAATTAAATGAAATTGACACATGTTCTTATTATATTTAATTCAATAAAGTAATAAGAGTGGGAAGTGGGGAATTTTCTTATCATATCACATGATCCTGAATTTGGTCTTTTCCTTGCCAATGGAGATTTGCCAAATCAAATAACTCAAGTGTATTTAAAAAAAGAAAATGTTTTCTAAATAAAAAATTTGGGTCATTAATATTATGATATATCAAATTGTCAAACTAAATTCAATCAGAATTGAAAATACCATATTAAGCATATGGTAAAATAAATTTTCTTACCAAATCAATGAGCGGTTAATTGTTAATTTGAGTATAGCTCTATTAGATATCTAATAAATGAATTAAATTTACCAAACCTATCAGCTTAAGTTTTTGGGTTGAGTGATGGTTTGTTCATTCTTAAGATGGTATCAGAGCAGGTACGTAAAGCAACTCAGTAGCATAATATTTCACATTTTTACGAGCC